TTAAATTGCTTGTGTGTGCTTGCTTTGAAAAGTTTTGTTTTACTTTGTTTTACCCCTTGTTTCTGTCCTCAAGAGTGTTACGAAGTTGTTTTTGAAAACTTTGTTTGCGAAAGTGTTGGTGTGAAAAAGATTTGTTTGTTTGAGCAAGTACCTAGGAACTAATCTATCTACTAGAAAATGGTATGTTCGTTTTCCTTTAGACAACGCTATCCTATTATTAAGGAATAGGTAGCACCGCCATTGGATGTTTAAAGGGATGTTCGAAGGGACGAAATGGTCACTGAAAGCAACAAGTAAGGATACCTTAGTGTTTCGAAGGGACTATCGTCATAAGATCAATTCGTAGGCAACTCGAGGGACAAGTAGGGACTATGATCTTTATGACGACTTTGAATCGCGGGTCATTGCTAAGGTATCCCTATGTTCGAGGGACACGACCATTATTTCCGAGGCAACCAAGTGAGGTAATACCCTAGGGGTGCAAGTGTGCAAAAGTGTTTGATTTCAATTATATTTATCTTTGCAGTTTAGTGATCTAAGATTGATTCGTTAGTCATACACCCCTAAGTTGCTAACAATTATATACAAGCATCCAAAATATAAAAGCGAGAAGGTAAAGGTCCTACGCTATTACAAGGCTTTTGCAGATACATAATTATATTGACTGTAAATAAAAATGTGGAAGTTTAAACCCTAATTACTATTACAACCTCGAAATAGTTACAGTAATAATAAAAGGAAATTAAAAAATGCACGCGGCAAATTTAAATGCGAGAATTAAAGAACCCTAAAAAATTTAATTGAAAAATATTTAGGTTATTATTATTTTTTTGAGAAAAAAATTAATGGGGTTATGTACAAATTAAAAACCCTAATTTCTAATTAATTTAAATTATATAGAAAAACAATTAAATTACCCTAAATAATTAAACTAATTAATTAATTAAAGAAACAAAATATTTTTCTTGAAAAAATGATTTTTGATGTTTTTTTGTGATTGTTTTACTTAATAAAAAAATGATTTTTGTTATCTGTAAAGAAAAAAAGAAATTAAGTAAACAATAAAATATAAGAAATAAAATAAAAAGATTAGAGATGGGCCTGTATTGAAGCTGAAAGAGGGTGTATATCTAAATTTGTTAGGCCCATTAGTGGCTAAGCCCAACCCCTACGCTTGATCCTGTGTAGTTCACACTTGGAGGGTGCATCATGGGCCTTTTTTGATGGAGCGTTGGATTGATGATGATGATAATCCATTGGCTGGATGAGGGAAGCGCATGGTAGGCTCCAGGGGGTGTGATGCACATGATCTGTTGAAATAAAGTTAGAAAATAAGAAAACGCTGGGACCTGGGATCGAACCCAGGCCCTCCCACTCAATACCAACGCGCCTTACCATCTGAGCCTTGTATCTTGTTTGTTAGTATAATGATAACAATTAATATTATATAAAAATAAGTGGATTAATGAATTAAAACAAAAACGTGCGCCAGCATTCAAATGGTCCAATGATAGTCAGACACGTTGGCTTCTTCTTCCTTGTCAGTCGTATTAGGTCTGTAACCTTTGCCTACAGCCAAGCTTCCATGGTTGTAACCCTGTGCCATTCAAAAATTACGTAAAGGCAATATAAATAAGATTCAAGACCATGGATCGATTGGGTTTGACCCCCTGATCATAATGGTATCCTTCTTTAGGGCCAATTGTTCTTGCATTTGAAAGCCCTAAAATAACAAGGCAAACCCTAGCTATGGAAAATATTCATACAGGGGTTAAAACTTCAATTAAAGGGTCTATACACATTGCAAACATGACAACAAACACGAATATACCATTAAAAGATGTTCATGATGCAAGAATCATAGTAATCGGATTTTGAAAAAGAAGCAAACTGTGACGATTGTATGTCCCGTTTCTGGTCTTGGGAGGACTGGAAAATGATTGGAACGTGTTCTGGAGATGCCCATGAATCGATTGGTGGCTTTAAAAGTCTTTGAATCGGCCTCTAAACTGGAAATCAGTCTACCACTTTTTTGACAATTTTCCGTTCTTGCTTGCAGCTTTTTACGACCTCTAATCCTCCTTTTTATGCACTGGTTGTGTTCTATATATGTAATAGAACGAATTAGGTCAACAAAAACAGTTGGTATCTTTTTCATTCATGGAGATTTGATTTGGTTTTTATCTTGTATGATATGTTTCCAAAATAAGCCTAATCATGCCAATTTTGATTCAATTTGTTTTGCACATTTTGGATATGATTTGTCAACCTAATTGGATTTGATTCCACCAAAATAAAATAAATAAGTAAAGCAATAATGTGTGGGTGCTGATTTGGGTCGTGGACTATGTCACAAGAAAGATTCAATCATGAAAACTAAGCCCATTTGACAAAAAATGCATTTTTGAGCACATTTGACTTTTGGCAATTTTGTAAAAATGGTCAATTTTGACAATGCATATCTCCTCCAATTTTAAACCTAGAGAGGTGTTCTTGGACTTTTTATAAAGCTTAAGATGTCCCCTAAACAACCTTTTTGGTCTCATCTCAATTGGTTCTTCCATGTTCATGTAAGAAGCTTTGACCAAAAAGGTGTTTTTGTTGACTTTTCAAAAGGACCTATAATGTAGAAATTCATATCTTTTGATGAGTGAATATTTTAACATTTTGGGGTGAATATGAATTGTAGGGAATTGAATCCTCTTCAAAATGAGCCTTGGATGGGAAATTTATGATAAAGTATGAAGAAGTTATGCTTGGTCAAAGTTTGGTTGGCTTTTCCTAAGAAACCCATGATCAACCCTTGATCAAATGATGAATATCCCTTCAAAATGTTGATGTTGACCAAAAATCTTGAAGTTTGACTGTATATGGGCCACAATTGACTTTTGACCTAGTACAGTTGATTTTCAGGCATCTGGACAATTGACTGAGCAAACTTCTTGTGCAAGGCATGAAAGTTGACATGGATGATCTTGAGAACATATTAGGACCCTGGAAAACATTTTGGACCTTTGGAGCTCCCACACCCTGATGAAAATGGAAACCCTAATTTGAGGTACATTGCCTTAAGAGAGAGCTTGTCTGGTCAACTCTTGGACATCCTCGAGCAAGTTGGGGACCTTAATGGGCACGTGTTGAGTAAAATGAGAGGGAAAATTTTTAGGTACAATAGTTACAAACCATGTCAAGTTCATCATCAAGTCATCATCATCCATACCATTTCAAAACGAAATAAAAAGGTATGATTTTTGGAGTATAAAGTTTTATCATTGATGGCAAGTAAGGCTACAAGATAAACTATTACAAGAAAACATTGTCTTTCACATTGGCAAGTCAAAATTCCTTAAGTGAAAAAGAATTCATTACATCATGAGCACATTACAAGAATTACAAAAGGAGGAAATTACAAGGAAATGAGCCAATTTTGGACCTTGGACCTCTAAGCATGTTCTAAAGCTATTTATTTTCGTCCTCAAATCCAAACATTATTCTTCATCATGCGCACCATTTTCTTCAAGTCATTTCTTCATAACCAAGCAACCTGCAATATTTGTCCACTTTAACTTTTTCTAAACTTGGTTTCCTACTACAATCACATTACAAACCTGAATGTTTAAAGAAGGCACATCATTCAAGTCAATTCAATAGTGAAACATTAAAGTTAAAATACATTTTCCAATACTTGAACAGTTCAGAAAAACTGCCAGCCCTATTTCATCTGCACAAAACCACTTAATCAATACCAGCTAATGATTCACAAACAACTCAGAAAAAATCATAAAACTGACTGAACCCCCGCCCTACAATTAACCTACACTATCAGTTCATTAAATCCAAAACAACCAGTTCAAAATCGGTTATAAACAGCCCTGCACATATTAAAAAAACAAGCAACATGATCACACTTTCTATGCTAATGAACTCAAGAGACAAGGCATTTTCAAAGTTATAATCATGATGCAGACCTGGATAAGGAATTTTCAAAGTAGGATTCATGCTACAAATATGGATAGGTAGTCAGAATTGTTAGTTCAAGCAATGCAATCTAAAGTTCCAGGAAGTTCGGAGACGGTCTTTATGTTGAGCCTATTGAGTATATACTACTGACATTTAAAATTAATCATAACTAACCTACGGTTTTCTAACAACCTTACTACATAACCTAACATTCCAAAATAAATTTCAACCTAAGCTAGCTTTTATTAATTCTTTATTAAACTACTTACTTTTTTTACAATAGACCTTTCCAACAGAAAGCTAGCAGAGCCTAACTGTTTCTAACAGATTCACAACTTCCCTTAACTAACCTCTCTTAATTTCCCTCTATTGTCAGTTTAAAACCATCTCAGCTTTCCCTCAAGAATTTCTCTAAAACAAACCTCAAGACTTATCTCTATCATCCTAACAAACTTTTGGAACAACCTCTAACTATCTCATCTTAACCCTTCATTATTTAATTGATTCCCTTAATCCAAGGGTCTAAAATAATCAAGCCATAACAAAATTTCATTAGCTTGAAACTCTCTATATAACACCTTCATTCATCACTACTCAGTTTCTTTCTGCCATTTTTTTCCATAAATCTCAGAAACACTCACGCACTCTCTTCTTTTCCGTTTCATCCACCTTCATCTTCTCTGAAACTTTATCCCCAACCTTCACCTACACCTACCACATTTACCATACTTCTTCCTCACCCCTTTAACCAAAATTCCCTACTCTCCATCATCAACCTCCATCTCCATCTTCTCTCTGATCTCTCCGTAACTACCTTCATCCACCTGCAACTTTTCTTAACCCTCATTCTCCATTTCTCTCCCACACCATAACCTCCATCTTCACCTTTCTTTATGAGTTCACAATTTTTCTTCAAGAATCACAGAAAATCTCTAACAAACTCTCTATGCAACTCAGAAACTCATCACTGCAAAACACGCACAACTTCAACATCTTCTCTGAGATTCAACTTCAAGAACCCTCCACTCTTCATCAACACCATGACCGTGTCTCTTCAACATATTCAAATAACAACGTTTCAACCCTCACTTTCTTGCGACATCAACAACTACTTTGATTGGCGTTCGTCTTCTGTAACAACAAATGAAAAAACAATAGTTATGGCTCTGAAAAATAGCAAGAAAGAAGAAGAAGAAGAAGAAGAAGAGTCAACAAAAAGAGAGGATACAGAACTTTCTGTTTTCTTGTCATCTTCATCTTCTCGAAGATGCACCAAACGAATTTCGGTAGCAAAGAAGAAGATGTGAAGTAGAAGGCGATGTGATGATGAGGAAGTAGAAACCGAGAAAACAAGGTTGAGATTGAGCGGGAGAAGGCAGAAGCCAATTTGAAATGATTGAAAGTGCAGATGGAATTGGAAGACGTTGAAGGTGATGATTATTCACTCTGGAAGAAATTCCTTTCATCAAGAGAGAAGATATTAAGGCGAAAAAGCCATTCGCGGTCGCCACTACGTTTTTGCAAGGAAGAAGACACATCTGCAACGCTACTACCGAACCCTAATTTCTCAATATTATATCGGTTAAACCTATTTAGTTTTTTTGGTTTAATTTCTTGTATTCTTTTTTTATATAATGGAAATAAAAGCTAAACAAAAAATGGGCTTGGTCATGTTGCCTGAATCAGATGTTATTCCCTTAAAGGCCCATTCTTTTTTTTGGGTAGCTTGAAAGCTTTACAACAAAAAAACTGATATTGGACCATTTTTGATGGGCCTAGTGCCCAAATTTAAATTACTATAAAACATCCTGGATCCAGTGTTGCGCCCTGCTGAAGCCTCATTTTCCATATTTTTTAATTTAATCGTATAATTGTCGTAGCTGATTTTTAATTGTTCGGCGATAATTGTGGGAGAATTTCAAGAGATTTCGAAGCGAATTAGGAACACAATATTCATCAAGGAAGTTCAAGGAAGATTTGTGTAGAGTTCTCTTTGTTGGCGTGGCTTCGAAGAGGCAACAAACCTTCTCTGTTAGGTATTATCGTGGCTCCACTTTTATCCTTCATTTCCGCATTTTACTGCTTCCTAGAGATCATGAGAATTAGGGTTTTACTGCTTTCCGATGCCATGAGAAGTAGGGTAGAGAGGTATGAAGGGGATTTCCATTGTTTATCATGTTAGGAACTCCTCTGGTTTATTTAAAGACCCGTTTAGGGAAATTCAACATTGTTTTCCATTATGTGCTACTTGTTTGGGATTTGTTTAAAACCCTACTTTTGTGTAGGTATTTTGCAAGTGCATTTACATTTGTGCCCGCATTATTCCCCTATCCCTTATTGAAGTCCTCAAAAGGAGGCGAGCGGAAAAGGGTTAGAAATTGTAATACGGTGGGAGAACTGACTTGGGTATTTTGCATTTTATCGTAAATGTTGCGGATAGCAAGAGTCTCCATCGACTTTTCTTTTATCCAATAAAGGAAAGGTTGAAAAGAATAGGAAAGACCTTTTGAGAATTTTCTTGATTTCGGGGGATAGGTTATGAAAAGGGAAGGTGTTAGAACCCTTTTCATCTGTAGTTATCTACGTGCTCTTAATTGCTTGATCACCTTGAAAATGCTTTCTGTTTGTTTAAGTTTGAAAATATTTTAAAAACGCCTAAGTTTGGCAAACTTTGCAATGATTCTCGTATCGTTGAGAATGTATACAAAGTGTTGGTTTTGAAAATATTTGTTGAAAGGAAGTGTTTGGAAAGATGTTTGAAAATGCCAATGTAAGGCCATTTTGTAATGATTCTCGTATCGTTGAGAATGTATACGAAATGTTTGTTTTTAAAGAATGTTTTGAATGTGTGAGGTGTGAGAATATTTTGATTTATGAGCAAGTAATTATGAGCAATTTACCGACTCGAAAATTCTTTGTTCTTTTCCTCTTACTTTAGATAATGTTATCCTACCATTGATTAGTATGTAAGCCTATCATTGAATGTTTTGAGGGACATACGAGGGTCATCGTACAGTCATGAAGGAAAATTGTAAAATGTTTTATCAATTATCGTAAGGGACTAAGATCATTTATCGAAGGCAACATTGAAGGGTCGTCAAGGGACTATGATCTTTTAATCGAGGGTCTTTTGCTAAAACATCTCACATTTGAGGGACATTATTGTTTTTATCCGAGGAAACAAACGTGGGTTACCCTAGAGGTGTAAGTGTGCAAGTGTTTTGAATTCATGTATTTGTCTTGAATTATGGTTTTCTAATGCTTGATTTTAGGTCTTGCCATACAAGCCCTAGTTACTAGCAATAATAAGGAAAACGATAAATTGAGGAATTTAAAGTTCTACGCTATTACAACGCTTCAGGATTGGGGGTACAATTTGTGAATAGGGGGAAGAAAGCAATAAAGTCCTAATTACTGTTACAGACTATTGTACATGAATAATAATATACTGTACAAAAATGCAAAGATTGAAGAGGAAAAAGGAATTTTCTTTTTAGGGTTTTTGATGAAAAGGTTTAGAGATTAACTTAATTAAGCTAATTAATTTACAAGAGAAGTTTGTTAGAACATAGTTTGATTCTACAACCATTGTAAATTTTTTGATGATAACAAACACTCAAAGAAAAATTGTTCTCCCTAAATAAGCATTTTGTTTTGCAAGGAAGTTCTGATGTAACAAGCACATAAGATGAGTTAGATCCTTGTTTAAACTCTGATTCAACACATCTTACGTAGAAATCAAAATCTACGAAACACGCTTATATAAAGAAGTTCTAAAACTACAACTTATGAGTGCACTAAACACTGCACACAAGAACTTCGTTATTCTGTTTCGTACAGTTATGGAAAGAAGTAAAGGAGTCCCAACAGTAACATTCATCTTCTGATGTAATCTTTAGCAAGCATGTTCTGAAGCGTTACATTTCTTTCATGGTTATTCAAAAGTAACGGCTGAAAGAGGACAAGAATCTCTATGTTTGGAAAGTTCATTAACTACTATTTATCAACATTCCAAAAGGACCTCTAATGCGTTGCCTATATAAACAAGTCTTGAAGGAGAAATCGTTTACGATTTCACGGTGCACAACAAATGAGAAATATCATCACCTTCAATCTATTGAATTTCATTTGTGTAATACATCACTTGTGTGATACTGTTTTGTTAGAAAACACATCTTGTACACGCTTTCAAATATATTCATGTGTAATACCTTGTGAAAATCGGGTTGTGGTTTAAACTTAATAAGACTTTGGCAGTTGTCATTGTACCTTTGCAATCAAGTTTGATTAGTGGATTAAGACCTTGTTGAGAGAGGAAAAATCACCTTGGCGGATGGAATGGAGTAGTTTGAATTCAAATGAACCAGGATAACCAACGTGTCTTTTGTTTTTAAGTTTTAAAAACCCCAATTCAAACCCCCCTTCTTGTGTTTTTCCATTCTTCAATTGACATCAGAGCACCTGATTCTGAGTGCAAACACTTAATCATGTCATAAAAGATCCAAACAAGAAAACACTATGGTGGGACCAAGTCAGAACATCGGCAATGATTATCGTGATGAGAAAGACAGAATCAGCAGCAAACCTCCAATCTTTGATGGTGAAAACTTCGATTACTAGAAGGGCATAATCGAAAGTTTCTTTCTAGCTCATGACGCTGATCTCTGGGATATGGTGACTGATGGGTACATACATCCAGTTGATGAAAGAGTTCAGAAGATTGACAGAAAAATAATGACAGATCATCAAAAGAGAGAATTCAGAAATTATCACAAGACCAGACAATTCTCTTGAGTGCTATCTCGTACACAAAGTATGAGAAGACCACAAACAGAGAATCAACAAAACACATGTTTGACTCATTGAGAATGACTCATGAAGGCAACACGCAAGTCAAAGAAACCAAAGCTCTTGCTCTCATTCAGAAGTATGAAGCTTTCAAAATGGAAGAAGACGAAACCATTGAAACAATGTTCTCAAGATTTCAAATTCTGATTGCTGGGCTAAAAGTTCTGGATAAAGGGTACTCAACTGCATATCAAGTAAAGAAAATCATCATAAGTTTACCCAAGAAATGGAGACCCATGGTCACAACTGTAAAACTGGCCAAAAATCTGAACAAAACCTCTCTCGAAGAACTTGTCAGCTCCCTGAGAAGTCAAGAGATAGAATTAGAAGAAGATGAGCTCTAGAAGCAAGGTAAGTCTTTAGCTCTTAAATCTAACAAAAAAATATGAACCGAAAGTTTTGCAGGCAAAAGAAGAAAACTCTGGTGGATCCTCATCAGAAGAAGACGAATTGTCTCTTCTTTCCATAAGAGTCAATCAGTTGTGGAAGCACAGGCAGAGGAAGTTTAGAACTTCCAGAAGAACATGAAATCATTATGAACCATCTTCTGGATACAAAAAATCAAGTAACAGAGATATTGTTTTCTACAAATGAAATGAAGAAGGTCATTACAAGAGAAACTGTCCAAATCTTCAAAAAGAGAAACCTAAAAAGAAGTTCTTTAAAGAAAAGAAGAAAAGCCTCATGGCAACATGGGATGACTCAGAATCTTCTGAAGCTGAAATAGAATGAGAAGATGAAAGAGCCAACATAGCCCTAATGGCCAATGTATCAGATGACACTGGATCATCTAAATCAGAATCATACTCAGAGGTAGAAGAGGTATTCTCTAACTTTTCTAGATCTCAATTAGAAGATAGCCTGTCATAAATTATTGAAAGATATCAGCAACTTCGAGTCATAAACAAGAACTTGAAAAATGTTCTAGTTTCTGACTCTGAAGAAACTAAGAAACTGAGAATAGAAAACTCTGAGCTTAAAGAAACAATTTCTAAACTTGAAAATAAACTACAAAAGGCTCAGAAAGAAACTGTCTCAGAAGTTCCTAGTAACTCTGATAAGATCATAAAAGAATATGATCATAGCTTTCAAAACTTTCTTACTAAAAACATAGATAGGAGCAAGATGGCTTCAATGATCTATGGAGTTAGCAGAAATGGCAGAAAAGGAATAGGATACAAGGGTGAAGTATCTCAACCTAAGAAGGTTAAGGATATGGTCATAAAACACACACCCCTTTATTCTCACTTCACCTATGAGCACACACATGACATAAAGTGTACTAGTAATGATTTTTCTGCTAAACCAAAATTTAATTAGAATTTTGGTAAGTCTAAAAAACAAGGAACCAAAAAGATATGGGTACCTAAGGACAAAATTGTCTATGTTGCAGATGTCTTTAACAACAAAATTGAAACACCAATCTTGGTATCTGGACTCTGGATGCTCTCGACACATG